ACTTCTACGGAAGGTTTCCAGATGGATATGCGGAGCAAATCCATCTGGCGGAGTCAGGTTAGCACCAACGAGCTGGTCGTTGAATTCCATTCTTTTGAAATCATGTTTCACAGATCATGTTCTCCACTTCAAGCCCAATAATACAGAAGCCGAGAGCGGTCGTACTCAACTTTTTTTCCCCTTTGCCTTCTCGCGATAATGACGTAACTATGTAACTATGTTTTTTCTCATGAAAAACACGAGAAAAAATGTATTGATTTCTTGAGATAACGAGATGATTAACCTGTATTACTGAATGAGGCTGGTCAACTGCCCTGGATTCCCAGTCCATCCATACCAGAGGGGCCCGTAGTTTTGCAGTTGCTGTATTGCGTGTGCGTAATAATCAGTTTTTCAGTTTCCTTTTTATTTTCACTCACTGTCAGATTGTGGAGGATGATTAGATTGCATGGAATACAGCAAAAACTAGTGTTGCACCGATACCGATACCAGTATCGGGTAGGGCACCGATCCAGCTCTAAAATGGTGGCAACGGTATCTGCGAGTGCCAACAAATAGGGCACCGATACCATTTTGAGAGCCAAAGTTTATTCAACTATTGTCACCCATTCCAGGTAGGCAATAAAAAGTTAATTTTTTATTAGTCTTATACCTGCTTCACAAAGGTAGGCAGCAGCTGGACAAAGCCATGATGGCAATTATTTTACATCCAAGTAGTATGTAGTTCTTCGTATACATACACACATCAATTTCAAACAGATGGTATCGGTATCGGCTAATACTGCACAGCCATGTATCTGGTATCGGGGCCAAAAAATGGCATCGGCGCAACACTTGTAGAAACCAGTCTGTCTGTTTTTTAATAAAAATCTTTAATCTGGACTCATTTTGGGGGTTAATGCATCTTATGCCTTTCACAGGTGTAACACCGGGGCTGTTCAAAAAACACCAGGCGCTAAGGTGACGGAAGCAAAGGTCTAATTGCTTATAAATCAGAAGTGGAAGCAAATCATCAAACCAACAACATTGTCTAATTACCTGAAAGTTAAACACAGGATTATTTACAGAATTACACATAGGCTAGGCTGCCATTAGCCTCGT